GTTTTAGAACCTCTGGAACAGGATTATGCAATTTTTAGGATGTATACAAATGTATTTATATATTTTTTCCCTACACATTTTAGCATATCCAGCGTCTCCCTTAGCAGCAAGTTAGCTGAAATTCGGTTGTATAGAGTTTTTTAAAACAAAAAAATACCATAAAAGATTGGAGAAATGGCATCTATGAAAGTTCCCTTGTTTTTAAGATGCTATTTGATAATGATGCATATTCAGTAAAGGTGTTATGGTACTAATTTCCATATCTTTCAGTAGTGTTTAATAAAAAAAAAAGAACTGAAAATAAAACTGCTGCTTGAGGTACTCAAATCTGTTAACAGTGACATATGACAAAAAAATATATATAAACATTCAAATGAATATAAATATATCTGACATATATTTATAAGATACTCATAAATGTGAACAATGAAGTCATATATCGTATTAGTCCTGTTCGTATGTCTGTGTAAATTAGTATGAAATTGTTGATTATGATTCTTTAAAGTTTCGTAAAACAGACCACTTTTTATAAACTTGTTTATACTCGTCTAAAATCTCCTGAGTTGCTTCATTTTGTCTAAACCTATTACTTTTTAAGTACCAAAATTCTCAAAAATGGGGAATTTTCTGTCTTAAATCTTAAGATAATTTGAGCTTTAAAATCGAGAAAAAAAAAAGATGGACTACAAAAATATTGGTCCGTTTGGTCTATAATACCTCGTTATTTTGACATAGTGGGAGTGGAGATGACGCAAAACGGCGTAATAGTTGGTGAATAGTTTTGAAGGCTACCTTTTTTTCTAGATTGATCAAATTATGTTACAATTAAAGTCGAAAGTATTCATGATTTTTTTAGTATCTCGTTAACTTGACATGTTTGCCGATCTCCCTGATAGATTACCGATCGATGAAAAGAAGCCATTCACAATTTTGTTGACGGGTGTTAATAATTTTATAAAATGGAGTCTATGCCACGGACTATAAGTATTGGTAAATTAAAGTTATTTTAGCCACGCACTATTGTACTTTCGTAATGAATAATAATGTTTTTGATTGAAAGCTGTGAATTAAAAAAAAAAAATGTTAAAATCTTCCGTGTTTGTCGGTGGGAAATATCTTCATTCTCTTTTAAATGTGTGTGTTTGTTTAGTTTTTCTCTCATTTACTTTTGAAGATTAAGAAAAAAATCTGTAAAGAAGTTTGATTCCTCTTTTAAGGGCCTTTCGTTTTATTTTATCATGCAAGTACCATGTCATCCGTCTGTCTTCATGTTCGACTGTAAGTCAAAGATAAAGTACCATGTCCATGTGAAAAATTTCATTATTGTTGGTATAAACAGTACGATTTATCACGATTTAGACGATTTTTTAATAGTTAAAACCGTATTTGGAGAACCTTTTTATTAGGGAGGGGGGATAGTCGATATATCGATAGTATAAAACTATAGATAACCCTATCCATATTGTTAGTGATTATCAATTGTTCGTATCCTCCCCTTTGACAAAAATTATTTTAAAATTTTATATACTTAAAGGAATAATTTTAATAACACGCCTTCATATTTCTACCTATCATTGATATACGAGATATGGTGATGATATAATAATGTAAAAGTTAAATGTTTGATAATAGAAAATTGTTATTGTATAATGAAAACGCCACATTAAGTAAAGAATGGATGGAGGTGTGAAGGCGTGTTTAAAACTATTCTTATCGATATATAAAACGGTTATAAAATTAAACCCAGAAAAAGACTTCATAATAAAAAATTTATTTGATTTAATCTCAAATTACTTTCTTATAAATATTTTTACACCTTCAGCTGTGCCGATCGAAAAAAGAATGTAACATTTACCTCACATATTTTATTTATTTTTTTTAATGAAAAAAATATATTTATAAAATTTACAAGGATGCCATTACAGTTTTACTACATTTTAAACTAAGTAATATTATCAAAATAAATTTAGAAAATTATAATCTTGGAAATTAATTGACATAAGTATTTCTCGCTAAATAATTTAAAAAATACTACCTAAATGTCGTCGATGTTTCTTTTTTGAATTCTACAATCACGGAAATAAATGCAATTTATTTTTCTATGTAATTGTATTTTCCCGTCAACAATTTTTTGAATTATCAAGTATTTAGGATGTACATTCTCGGGAGAGCTACAGTTCAACGAAGATTCGGTGACCAAATTGAACGAAAATCTGAATAAACTGGTTACCTCTCCCTTGCTGAAGCCGGAGCAGAAGCTAAACATTGTCAACCAATATCTGTTCCCGGATCTTACTTACCCTCTCCAAACTGCGCCCCTCACAAAGCTGCGTCCTGCCATACTTGACGGCATCGACACCATGATTCGCAGGAGTGTGAAGGCTATTGTTGGACTACCTGCGAACACCTCCACGGCGATGTTGTTCTCTCCCAGGAGGTATCGAGGATTAGGATTAATCCGCTGCCAATGGGAGGCTCCTCTACAACATTGGTCCATTGCTCAGCGACTGTCCAATGTGCCCGATGCCCTTTTTCAGTCGATCTTTGATTATTCGGCTGAGGTTGATGAATGTGCCGAGAGATTGGGGGTTGATGGGGGTATTCGGAATATGAGAGCTCTACGGCAGTCGCTTCGAGAAAATTCGTTTGAGGAATGGACCAATTGCAGGTGGCAGGGCATTGAAGTTCGCCATTTTAAAGAGACCCCGAAAGCCAACAAATACATGTATGATAAGCAAGTACTTTCTGGGTCTGAATGGTCAAATGCCCTGAAACTGAATATTAATTATGCACCCCTGCGTGGAGTCCGAGGTGTCAGCGGACAGGTAAGAGAAGTTGGGTCCCTCTGTCGCAAATGCGACAGAGAGCCAGAAACACCAGCACATGTGCTTGGAAAATGCCCCAACAACTCCCTCCTTATAACGCACCGTCACCACAGAGTCAAACATGAACTGATGAGGCTCCTTATAGAGAGAGATTACGCCTGTTTCGAGGAGGTATATTGTATAGATACGGATGGATCCACCCGATATGCCGACATTGTGGCATTCCCTAAGACGGAAAAGTCGGCGATGATTTTGGATCCGACCGTGAGATATGAGACCAACGACCTCGATCAGGCAGGAAAAGTGGAAAGGGAGAAAAAACAGACATATGAGAAATGCATCCCTTTCCTTAGTGAAAAGTTCCGCGAGAGTTTCGGGCCGAGAGAGTTCCACGTGAGAGGCCTTTGGTTCGGAGCTCGCAGAACGATACCAGACTCAACAAGGAGCTTCATGGAGGGCCTTGGTGTCGACATAAAGGACGTGGCAAGGTTGGCAGAGAACATAATCCTTGACTCCCTGGGAATTATCCATCACCATGTGCATGGATAGAGAGTCTTTCATGGGGGGAGGCATGCGTGTTTTGCAGCATTTTTACATTATTTATTGACCACGTCCACTGCACTTTATGTATTTGTGGGCATGTTATGAATTAGGTTAGGAAAAGAGAGGAGAAAAATGTATAGAGTGAGAGAAGGAACAGAAAGGGATGTATAGTGCTAATAAGTGAATTAAAGAAATAGTAAAAATAAAAAAAATAAATAAAAATATAGGAAAAAAAATTATGATAAAAAAATATATATATAGATAAAAAAAAAAAAATTGTATATTATGCTCATATATGTTGTTAATACTATATAATTGTATATTAGTTTTGGAAAATTGTCTGTAGCGATTAATAAGTATGCTGTGTTTAAAGCAACCCAATGTAATTGGGCAGCACCCTTTTATGATAATAAAGTGATTCTCTCTCTCTCTCTCTCTCTCTCTAATAATTTTTATTAGAGCCTTAACAGAAATATTCAAGGATGTATACAATATAAATGTTAATTAATATAATAGAGTTTGTGCAGCATTTTAATGTAAATAACTAAAGAATACAGCGAAAATAAATCCTCTTTAAGCCTGTGTAGGGACGTTACTGAACTATCGACTATCCCTACTTTTTATCATTTGAGGATGCAGTAAGGTTAGGGAGTATTTATGGAGGCCGCAATAATTGTTTATATTTTACCGCTGATGTTTTTATTTTTTAACAAATAAAAATTCAATTAATTTTAATAATAATAACAATAATAATTATGGTTGAGGCTCCTCGACGCTAATTAATGGCATAAGAGGAAGACAAAGAAGAAGAAGAAAAATTCAATTAATTTTCAAATGATCGTTAGTTAAATAATTAAAAATTAATTATCTAGCACTAGATTAACAAATATTAAGCAAAAAAAAATTGGAGGCCGCAACTACGTCATAGAGGTCCCATGCCACCACGGAGGCCGCTGGGTCTCACTGTTTAAGCCTTTTTTGTTATTTATGTAAATAATAATAATAATAATAATAATGCTTTATTTATTCTGGGACGAGTCCCTTTAGAATAATACAAAGAGACAAGAATGTGGGCTAAGGAGCCTCAGAGATACATAAAGAAGAATATAGTTTAATTAAATAGTAAAAAAAAAAAAAATTAGATAAATGAAAAAAAATAATAAGAGAAATTATAAGTTACTTTCTAATTTACATCAGTTAATAATAAAAGTAAAAAATTGAAAATAAACATGAAGTAAAAAAAATGAAGAACGATTTAATAATTTATATACATATTTAAAGTAGTAACTATTTACAATTTTATGAGGACTGGATGGATAAGAAATGATTAAACAGTTGGGATTTAAAGGTAGGAAGGATTTTGGATTGACGGATGTAGGGAGGGATGGAGTTCCATATGGAAGAGGATAATAAATACTGTAGTAAATTTGTGTAGAAACTCGTTGCATCGCCAATGCCTCATTTATGATAGGCATGCCATGAGTATATTGTACAATACAGGAACTCGTATTGAACCTTGAAGTACTCCCTCTCATAAAATTTGATTTGATTTTTTTTAAATCATTGATTCATAATAAGCTATGAATAAATAATAAATATATTTATATTAATTATTTTTTTTCTGTTTGATAGCCACGTGGGTCGGAGGTGGCTACATCAACGGTACTGCGGAGGCGATATACACGCAAGGACTCATTTGGTGTCAGGCACCTTTTGGTTATGCCCTCAGTCTCGTATTTGGTAAGTAAAAATAAATTATCATTAATTATAATCAATTATAATTATAAAATTATAAACAATTTTTTATTTTATTTATTTAGACATATAATATTCTGTCACAGGGACAATAATTATATTGATAAATGAACACATTCACACCGTATATACAAAAAGAAAAATAATAAAATTAACAAAAGTAAAATAATAACTAAATAATAATAAATAAAAACTATATACAATAAAAAAAATAAAATAACCTAAATACAAGTAAATTAAAAACATTCACACCTATATACAATTTTAAAAATACCATTACGCTACGGTAAGTGCAAAAGGTCATATGTGAAAATTGATTTTTTTACATAAGTGAAATAACTGATTGTTTCTTGATGATTTATCTATATAATTTCATATTTTATTTTCCTCTACTATTTTCCATAATAGTAATTGTTGTTGCAGAATACGAAATTCCCTCTTTAGCACAAATAGAAATGTGTATTCTACAATAGAATAAGTGTACAAATAGAATATACATATGTAATATTGTTACATATCACCTTTTGCACCCACAGTTTTTTTTTTTTTTTTTTTTTTGACTTGATTCTTCAACTCACACCTGTCAGAAGTTCCGACAATCAGCGAGTGTGATGTCAAGATGAAGAGATTGGTCTTGGAATAGGCGTGAGGGAGAGGAGTACCCAGCGGCGTCCTTCCTGTCTTGAGCGTAATATTTCTAGTTAGTGGAGGAGATCCCTCATCCAGCTTCTTTTAAGCCTCCTTCGGGTGCCATCGGGCATGTTAGTTGTGGCCATGCCTCGAATCAATGAGTTTGTATGTCCGTGTAAGTTATTATGAAATCGTTTGTAGTATGTTCGTATGTGGTCATTAACTGTTGGCATCTGTAAGTCTTTATGTAGAGTAATGTTACTGACGTACCAGGGAGCTTTGGTAATAGTCCTGAAAGTTTTAGATTGAAAAGTCTGTAATTTACGTATGTGAGTCTTTTTGGCTGTCCCATATATCTGTAAAGCGTAGGTCCAAATAGGCTTGAGTAGGTAAGTATATGTATTCAATTTCTGTCTAAGTTTTAATTTCGAATTTCTTGCAAGGAGTGAGTACAATAGGCGTAGTCTTAGGTTTAAAGTTTTTGTTTTGTTTTTGATATGTTGGCCCCATGTCATTCTTCTGTCAAAGGTCAGTCCAAGATATTGAACTTTGTCTGTCTGAGGAATTTGGATATTGTCAAGGTAAATAGGGGGGCAAGTTTCACGTCGAAGGGTAAAAGTGATATGTTGTGATTTGTCAAGGTTGAGTCGAATTTTCCAGAGTTTGCACCAGTCGTAGAAATTGTTTAGGTGATATTGTAAAGTCTGTGAGGCGTATGCTGAATTTTGATGTCTTGTCAAGATTGTTGTATCGTCTGCGTAAGTCGCGGTCAGAGTATAGAGAGGATCTGGAATATCATATGTGTAAATAATATACAACAGAGGAGCGAGTACTGACCCCTGAGGCACCCCTGCTAGGGCTGGTTTAATGGTAGATAGTTCTGTACCTTGGCAAACAGAGAAAAATCTGTCAGAAAGAAAAGATTGAAGAATAAGATAGTAGGTTGGAGGGAGTATAGTCTTAAGTTTGAAAAGAAGTCCCTGATGCCAGACTCTATCGAACGCTTGAGCAACATCCAGAAATACTCCTGTTGCATATAATTTGTGCTCTAGTGCTGTCGCAATGTAGTCTGTCACTCGGTGTAGCTGATGAATGGTTGAGTGGTGTGAACGAAATCCAAACTGATGTTCAGGTATTATGTTTTCAGTAGTCAGTATGTCAAGAAGTCGTTTGTAGAGAAGTTTCTCAAAGATTTTAGAGCATAATGGGAGCAAGCTGATGGGTCTGTATGATGAAGGAAAGTCAGTGTTTTTGTTAGGTTTGTGAATCATTTTTATGAATGAGTATTTCCATTGTAAGGGGAATTTAGTCGTTCTGAGTATTGCGTTATAAATTGATGTTAGGTATACTAGAGCTTTCCTTGGCATTTTCTGGAGCACTTGAGCATTTATCAGGTCATGACCGGGAGCTTTCTTTTTAGGTAACTGTCTGATTTGTTCTGCAACTTGAGTGGGAGTGAAGCAAAGTGGAGGTAATGACAGTTGTAAAGGAATGTCTAAAGTGTTTTGTACATGTCTTTCGTGATCAGTATTAGAGAAGTCAGTATGTGGTATGAAAACAGAAGAAAGATGGTTGGCAAAGAGCTCAGATTTTTCAAGGTCTGACACAGCCCAGGAACCATCTACGTTTCGGAGTGGTGATGACACCTCACAATGCTTTACAAGTTTCTTAGTCTGTCTCCATAAGCTTCCATCGTCAGTCGAAAGATTTTTGAGGTAATTGTCGTAGTTCGTTCTTTTAAAATTCTGAATCTGTCGTTTAAGTTCATTGTTAAGTCTATTGAAAGTCCGTTTGTCAGATGGAAGTCGACCAGTCTGCCACACTTTGCGCGCTCTTCTCTTTGCTCTGATCAGGTCTCTAATGTACTGCGGATAGATTGGAAGAGACGTATTTCTGCTAGGTCTTGGTACAGATGATGACCATACAGCCTGTTGTAAGCTGATTGTGAACTTATCAACAGCTTTTTCGAGTTCCTCTTCGGTCTTAAGGGACATTGGGATTGATAGCGTCGAATTTAAGTAGTCGCTGTAAGCTTTCCAATCGATTATCCTATCTGTAAGTGTTGGTTTTTTTGATGCAGTACGAGGCTCATCGCATAGTACCAAACTGAGAAGAGAATGATCAGAACAAAGATCAGAGCTTGCAGTTACAGTATACGGCACTGTCCTGAGTCCTTTAGTAATGAAAAAGTCAAGTAAATCTGGTGTTTTCTGTCTTGAAGTTGGCCAGTAAGTAGGTGTATCAGGTGAGATCGTGTTTAATGAAAGCTGATCGATGGCAGACTTTAGATTTCTTCCTCTAGGAGTACAGAGTCGTGCTCCCCAGGACTGATGTTTGGCATTATAATCACCACCTGCAATAAAACACCGACCGAGATGTTGGAAAAAATTGTAAAACATTGCAGATGTTAGCACGTATCTCGGAGGGCAGTACACTGCAGCGAAGGTAATGGTATGGTGCTGGGTATACAGAGTAATTGCTGTGGATTGTATGTCAGGTGTAATGGGTAATTGTAAAGGGTTGTGTTTTAGTGATTGCTTAATCAGTATTGCCGTACCGCCATGTGCCGTCTTATCAGGGTGGTCAGTTCTATATATTTTGTAGCCTGGAATGTAAAATTTAGAATGTGGAGTCAAGTGTGTTTCAGTGATGAGAGCAATGTCAGTCCGTTTTTCATGTATGTACATGTCAAGTTCAGTCCTGTGTTGGTTTATACCATTTGCGTTCCAGAGAAGAACGGACATGGAGCCCACTGTCAGCCGATTAGTAGCCATAACTGGAGGATAAGGCTTGTGCAACGTGAGACAGTTCTTGGAGAAGGCTGAAAAGAGGCTGGATGAGGTTATTCAATCCACTTACCAAGTTGAAGAGCTGAGCTGAAGCCGGGTGATTGTAAGTCGGTAGTGGCGGTTGAGTAATGCCCTTTTTCATTTCTGGATGCTTTGGCTGGTGAAGGTGATTTTCTGGGACTTCTGTAGGAGAAGTTCGCAGTTTTGGTCCTAGATATTGGAATCGGGTTTTGAAGAACCTGAATTTGCGGTATGCTGACTTTGCGGAAGAGAAGGAAACTCGTCTATACCTGGGGGTGCGCTAGTTTGTGCTTTTTGGGGACTTTGTATATTTTTACGGAGATTGCGTACTTCCCTCAGTTGTTTTAGAGTTGCACAACCTCTATAATTTGCTGGATGGGATCCGCTACAATTCGCGCATGTTGCTGCGGTCTCTCTTGTCTTTGTGCAGACGGTGCTATCATGTCCTTGGCCACATCTCACGCACTTCGGGGAGTGATTGCAGTAAGCCTTTGTGTGGCCATACTGCTGACAACGGGTGCACTGTGGAATCATTCTTTTCTTTCTTGGCTCTTCGATTTTCACTCTAGTATAGTATAAAAATTTGATATCAAAAATTTTTTCATTAAATGTGGCTTTAGAGATATCGATAAAGAACATGGGAAGTGGATTTTTGTATCTGGAAATAACGTTCACAATACTTGTGGCATCGTAGCCTAGGCATTTTAATTCGTATTTTATGGTTTCAATTGGAGTAGCATGGTGTAAGTTTTTTAATACGATTCTTGGATTTCTATCTTCTATTAACTGATAGGTATGGAAATCGGCACCTACCTGTCTTAAGTTAGCTACTATACGTCTATATGTGTCAGAGTTTTCAGGATATACGGTTACTCCTCTTGATGTGGATTTTAGGTTAAAGCTGTTCAAACCTCCTACATTTTGGAGAAATGTGACCAGTTCGGTGTAGTTCTGTACATCATTCAAGTGGATAGGGGGGGTTTTACAGAAACTGGTTGCTTAGTGGTAGCATCAGACTCGTCACTAATGTTAGTTAAAACTTCAAAACTATTAGTGGTTACTGTTGTAACTTCACTTACCTTTTTAGCTTTTCTTGGGTCTCTGTTATTGTCCATTGAGCGTTTTCTTCCTGTAACGAGTTCCCAATTATTTTCAGTAGTTTGGTTTGAGTTTAAAGCGTCCACATTTTCTGTAGAACTGGCAGATATCGACGTCTCAGACATCGTTTGCGGTGAAACCGCTACACCGAGGTGTGGAGTTCCTATTTCTTGGAGCTAATTGGTTTCAACAACAGAATGCAACAAAAAGAAAAGTTTTCACTGTTAATTTACTCTAAGATTTTGTCAAAAAGATTTTCAAAGAAAAATTAACCTCACTTTTATCAATGTTCACACATGATCCAGCTGATCAACTCCCCCACAGTATTGATTTGTGACATTTACACTCATTTGATGAGGAAGTAAGTTTCTAGATAAAAAACAAAGGATGTAACGTGGCAAGATATACCAATTTTTATCAATATTAATATAATTATTTTTTTCCTAT